CTAAGACCCAGATGTATCTAGGTCATTAATTGAGAGTTTCTGCTGATTAGACTTTACCAAATCTTGTAAACAATAGTATAAAACTTCCAGCACATGATGGTATTGCTTCTACATCAAAGAAGGGTAAGAAAACCATTTACTGAACTGTATATTAAAGTAAAAATGATTACAGGGGTATACAGTAACCAGTACTTAATCCCTACCCCCTGGATGACGTTCCAGAATGTTCATCTAGTGGGCTCCGGTTGACATTCCGGAACGCACACCTTTTTGCACCATTGTTTGAATGCCCAGCGCGAGTTATAAGGTTCCAGCATGACTATTTGGTGGTCACGCCACATGTAGGGTAGCGATGGTGGGCTCATTGTACAGCCTCATACATGGACTGTTAGTCAAAGCCTGTTGCATACAAGAATTACAATCATCAGATAGTTGTACAGTAGAAGTCCAAAAATCCGGACTGCTTGGGGATTGGGTCGGTCCGGATTTTCGGATTTTCCGGATTCTCAGGCAGTACTTTTAAAATTAAAATTTAAGGAGGAATAAAGAAGAGATGAACAGGTACATTTTGATAGTTTATTCATTAGCAAATATAGCATGCTTCATTTATCAAAACGAGCAGTTTTAATGAAAAAGCTGTGAATTCTAGAATTTTATTCTTTGCCTTTTTGATATCATAAATTGTAGACTTTCCAATGTTGTATTTTCCATTAGAACAGTATTGCTCACACCACGTACTAGTTTCTTAATTATTTCAAGTTTGTCACTCAATTTCAACGTGTTCTTCTTTCTCTTCACACAACGAAGTTTATCTACTTTAGGAGCCATTATTATGGGCTTGTACAGTAATCTGTAAATGGAAAGAGTAGGACTCAAAATATTGTTATATTACAATGGTATTCTATTCATACTGTGCTTGATATAATGCATTCACGGAAATGTAATATTTTTGCTAAAATGACGTACGTATTACAGTGGAAAGTGGGATCAAATCGTGACGAAAACAATGACTTTCGCTTTCTTTCGTTCAAAAGATGTTACCGTAATCGCTTTTCGAATGGTTTAGTTAAAAAACTGTTGTATTGTATTACAATAATATTCTATCCTAATTGACTTGAATAAATACTACGATACCATATTTCTGAATATTTTCATTAAAATCCATCAAAATCATTTTCCTTGTCATCGTCTGCAGCACCAAACAGCTTCTCCCAGTCCTCTCCTTGAACAGGGCTAGAGGGTACGTGTTTTTCGAATCGTTTTCAGTTAAAAAACTATTACATCACACGTATATTTTACCTAAACTGCGCCTGAATGAATATATTCTCGGAAATAAATAGTAGTTTTGCTGAAACGTGATGTATTTCAATGTAAAATAGGATAAAATACATGTTGAAAACAAAAGACTTTACCTAAGCTTCCGATGTTCTTGAGATGTTACTCGTTTTTTTAATAGTTTTCGGTTAAAATTCTGTTATATTACAATGATATTCTATTCATACTGTGCTTGATGTACTACATTCACGGAAATGTAATATTTTTGCTGAAATTACGTACGTATTAAAGTGGAAAGTGGGATAAAATCGTGACGAAAACAATGACTTTCGCTTTCTTTCGTTCAAAAGATGTTACCGTAATCGCTTTTCGAGTGGTTTAGTTAAAAAACTGTTGTATTACAATAATATTCCCTCCTAATTGACTTGAAGAAATACTTGAATGGAAATATACAATATTTTTGTTGAAACTACCCGCGTTTCAGTGTAAAGTGTTGTAATAATAAATGGTAAACAATTTACCTTCGGCACTCGTGTTTCAGTTTATAGGATGTAGAGCGTTTTTACTGAAGGTTTTGTTGTTCGCTTACCCTCAAAAACGTGGGTCGAACTATAAACGAGGAATATCATAAATTAACGATTTCTTGGTCAAAAAATCAGGGTCGACAGATAAACGAGGGGGGGGTTATAGATGAGTATATACGGTATGTTGTCACAGTTTGATTGCTCGTTTTAAAGTGGAGACCACGTGGTCGCTGTGCAGCTGTGGTGCTCACGCATGCGCACATACACACAAAAGCCCGCTAAAAAAAAATTTGTTTTCCAAAAGTCCGGATTCTCGGGTGGTCCGGATTTTTGGACTTTTACTGTATGAACAAAATTGCAGTTTTTTTATTATTCTCACAAAACACTGACAGAGTACAAGACAAAATTCCCGAATTGTTCCAGTCAAGCTCTCATACCTAACTAAAATATTACTACAGTACAAAACATATTAGGGAGAAATGGCAAATAATCCTATTTTTCAAAGAAGTACAGTATATTATACCCAGTAGTGAAAGCATCGCTAGATGTTTTATCCAGAAGTCGAGACATTGCTGTAAACAGAAAAGCCACTGTTTATAAGAAAGTGATTAGTGAACCAGGTTTCCTGGTTGGCTTGGAAATACAGTACTAACAATAATACAGTATTATGTGTTATTAACCCTCGTTTGAAAGACTGCAGGGTACAATAAGACAAACTTCCGCAGTCAAGTTATTCTCACTGTCCATCACTTCTACTCTTGATCTCTTTCTATTAATTATGGAACACCTAACTTTTTAAAATATGAAAGAATTGGAACAATCAATCCATGTACGTAGTCTTTTTTATATAAAATTCACCACCACTCAGAGTCGTACCATTTATCAGTACTTTCAGGGCTCCACCTGTACTACTACATTAACTAAAGCCTTTCTGTTTTCCTCTTGGGTGGATATTGCTACCAGATTCTTTCACAGCCTCCTGCTCTTGACCAATGTTAGTGAGACTATTACTACTGCTCTCAAGTACTGTACTATAACTTTGTTCTTGCACAAATTTACTCTAACATTACAGTACTGTACTGTAGTTGTATTCTGCAATCGTGAAAATCTATGACCACCATTCTCTCAAATTTTCCCACAGAACTACCAAACAGCACATCAACATACTACAGTGTACTGTACTGTATATGCACCATCTTCCACTCTGTGAAACCTGAACTCACTTCATTACCAGCCACCCATTCTTTCATTTTATATATTGTACTGTACTGATCCATGCATGAAGACATCAAATACTAAGGACGTCAACACATTTTTGTTTATGTGTTATGAATATGTGGAAATTAACAAATAATTTAGATAGATGAAATTGTTATGTACAGTACAGTATGCTAAAATATATACAGTACAGTAGGGTCGGGATATAGCGCGAGATAGGGTCCAAGGATGTTTGCCATATACTAAATCGCGATATATAATTACAATGATATCTCTGTTGGCCAAAACAATTGGTGCAGAGCACTTCCGAGAAAGAGATTTCTGGGTAACGAGACGACGACTCTCAAAGATGGTAAAGGGTCCCTCATCCGCGGAATTTTCTAGGTATCAGGAAAATTTTCCGTAAACTGTGCCCCTCGGAAAATTGTTCCCAAAGTCGTAATTTTCTGTAAAATTACGGCTTTGGGAACGATTTCAGAGAAATTTTCAATTCCGGCTATCAGAGAGTTCCGGGTTTGAGGGATTCCGGCTATTTGAGATATTACTGTACAGGCATCCCCCTGGTTACGGAAGGCATGGGTTCTTGAAAATTTGTCCGTACTGTGAAACCAATTTTTCCATTGACTTCCATTATATAATTAGAGGTACGTTCCCAAGGAAATATTTTCGGCAAAAAGACATAATAGAAGCATATTATGAACGAAAAAATATTTTTTTAACACATACATTGATTATTTTATGATATAATATGATAATAAATATACAAAATACTTGAATTTAACATACCACAAATGATGTTGAGCGCTATGTTAAGTGAGGTGATGAGGTAAGGTGGTGCAATCAGAGTTACTGGGAGGGAGACGGAGGGGCACTACTGGCTCCTGCCTCGCCCTAACCATCATCATCATCTGCTACAGGCCTTGCTCTTGGGGCAAAAAACTTGTCCAAAGTTGTATGGCGTTGATGGCACATTTTGACCTTGTACAGCTCCTTGTAGCGGTTGAGGCTATTTTGCAACTGAAGGCATTTCTTTAACCTTTCAAACCATCCTTTACTTGCCTGCAAAGGTTTTACATCAGAACTTGCACTGTGTTCTTTCTGCAAATCCTCATACAAACTTTTTGCTTTCTCCTGAATGATCATCGTGCTTAGCGGCACATTCCATTTGTTTGGTCTTCAATCCACAAATTCAAGAGTCTTTCCATATTAAGCATCACATCACTTCTATGAAAAACAAAGTACGGGCAGTTAAAGGAATAGCCGATTGAGCACTTGGCATTAATTTTGTCTTTATTATCACATATTGTGCACACTAGACGTAGCAAGGCCTAATTTTTTTGCAATCTGGCTAAGTTTTTCTTCCAACCTCAGTAAAACGGAGCTTAATGTCCAATGTAATTCCTTTATGGGATCTTTTAGCACCACTGCTTTCACTTGAACTTGATGGCCTCTTTCCACTCATCTTGAATAAGAGTACACAGTAATACGGTCCTGAATACAGAATATGTAAGTGTCGCGAGGCCAAGCGCACAAGACCGCATGTGAGTTCAAACAGAGCGGGTTGGCATGGCGTGGATATGCGGCGTCCCCACTGTACAGTCTTGTAGCAACCACCAAGAAATTCACACAAAATAAATTTTTATAATTTATTTATTTTTCTAATAGTACCGGCATAATATTTATACCCAATTTCTGTAATGGCAAATTTTTTGTCCATATCCCAGGTACTGTACATGGGTCATAATTTACAAAATCCGGAAGAGCGAATTTCCCTAACCTGAGTTGCCATAACCCGGGGATGCCTATATTGGAAAATGTCAATAATATTGGTAGCCACGATATAAAAAATTGGTTATAAAAAAATTCTTATATCCCGACCCTACTGTACTGTGGTGTAGTCACTACTAATGTTGTGAGTGAGTTGAAAAGTTTTTAATTATTATACTGTATTGTACAATATTTTAAATGTTCTTCTCATTTCAGGTATTGACTTCAAAATCAAAACCATCGAGTTGAGAGGAAAGAAGATAAAGTTGCAGATATGGTAAGTTCAAGCTTGACATTACTGTAGGACAGGTTGACTGAGATAGAAGCTTATTGTTCTAGTATCTACTGTACTATCTTATACTGTAATGAAGACAGACTAAGCTAAACATCCTGAGTCATGATTTTTTCTTGAAGCTGTATAGACTTGACTTGTTACTTACAAGAGTGTTGTTAAAGTGCAGATATTGGCTACCATAATTGATGATGATCTTAAAATATATTTACAGTCATTGAGCCTCTTTAATGTAAATAATATAAGCTAGACTATTTAACATTTGACATTCCATAATTTGACTAACCTGCCCCCAGACATCTCCAGTGGGACAGTTATAGAGCTCACACCAGTGTAAAAAACTCCTGACTACAGCCTACTTGTGATATAATACAATCAACACTGTCATTATTGTTAACCGTAAAAGTTTTAATGACCTGATTTTAATCATACTGAATTACTTTTCAATTTTATATATCTTAATTGAGCCCAAATTAGGTATAACCAAGAAATTTTTAGTTCTGTTTTAGAAAGTTTAGTTACACCAAGCTAGAATTTCAATTGTTAGTTTCAAAGGTTCTTTCAACAATGAAAAAATAATGAGCACTGCATAAGTCTCTTCTGTATAATCATGACCATAATCAGCATCAGTCATTAGTGTTGCCAGGATCAAGATGTTTGTTCGTTGGCTCTGTCTCTACCTGTCTTGTCTGTTTACCTGACCTAATGACCACCCACGAGAGGTGGCCAATGGCCTGTGTACAGTTCCTCCTTTGTTCTTGATAAATTAGTCGAGGGCTGTTTTGAAGCCCAGTATAGGGGGTCCCCGGATTACGAACGGGTTCCGTTTTTGAGGACGTTCTTAAGTCGAAGATGAACTCGAGTCGAAACACATGCTATGTGCATACCGTACTTACAGAACAATGTTTAAAATCTCACTATATCATAGCCTAAGTCCTCATACTGTATATATACTCACTTAATTTAAGAGAAAAGAAGAAATAGATTGACAAAATACAGTAAATAAAAGTAAAAGAAAGGTCAAGTAAATAAGATACAGTACTGTACTATAAATTTAAAGTTTAACCTCATTCATATCGGCGAGCAATCATAAGTCGGGTACCCCCAGTACTGTTCTTGATTCCATAGCTTGGGCTGGTAGACCATTCTTTAGGTCTACCAGCCTCTGTGTGAATAAGTATGTCCTTATATTCGTTCTGCATGATAACTTGGCGAGCTTGTAGTTATGTCCTCTTGTGTTAGTGGTGCGTAACATCACTAAGAAATGGCCCGGGTTCACGTTTTTCGTCTCTTTCAGGATTTTGAATGTTTCGGTGAGATGTACCTTATTGAGTCTCGTCTGAAGGGTTGTTAGTCCTAAGGCCCTCAGTCTTCCTGGATAAATGAGATGACTTAGTTTTGGAATCATCTTAGTTGCTCTTCAGTGCACCTTTTCTAGGGATGTTACCCCTCTGTTGACTCGAAAATGTGTACTGTATTGTACAGGTTAAACATTCATACACAATAAAGTGTATAATGCTAGAAATTACAGTACAGTACATTATCTACTGATGGTTAATGACCTATTATGGTAAGAACAATATGAACTGGTTACGGTATATATTTTATCTACAATATATTCTAATTTTTATAAGTACTGTACTGTACCGGTAGCTGCACTAAAATCCTCATAGGTTTGACTAATTCATCTTGGGTGTGGTCTGATGGGTGAAGAGTCTAGATTGGAGTACAATTTTTTTAAATAGAGATTTTTGCCATAAAAGATAGAACCATAGTAGCTTTGGGTTATTTCATGAGATAAGAACTGAGGATGTTCACATAGTAAACAATCAAGATACTGTATAGTGGTACTGTACTTGAAACAATATACAATAAGGGGTTAGGGACTGGAAGCCCCCAAAATCACCAAGCAGTACTTAAAAGATGTATTTACTTAGAGAACACGTGCAAGAAATGTACAGCATTCTGGTACACCATGGAAAAATATAAACTTTATAATATCAAAACAAATCACACACACAAAAAACTCAGTACTGTACATGACAGCCTGCTGCCTCTGACCGGCCCAGCTTCCCACAGATTGGGCAGTGATACTGGAAAATGGATGTACACATAAACCAGCAACACGAGGATTTTTTTTTTTAGAAGATAAATTTGTTTTTACATCATGAAAAGAACCTCCCCCCTCCTCCTCCTCAATGAGAGGAATCACATTTTCAAATTTTTTGAGAATGAAAACCATCCCAGTTGTAAACAATGAAGCTGTAGGATTGTCATACTGTGTTGTGCAGCCGTGCATATTTTCATGATAAAATGGAAAAAAAAAAAAATATATATATATATATATATATATATATATATATATATATATATATATATATATATATATATATATATATATATATATATATATATATATATATATATATATATATATATATATATATATATATATATATATATATATATATATATATATATATGCCTTCCTATTTTGGGGGCTTTTCATTGAGTAGGGAAGCATTTATTTTCTATAGAAATTTTGTTCCCAAGTTGCACAACATTCAGTTATGTACAGTATTTCCAATGTGGAGTTCAACTGACATGGTTCCTGGTCCATTAACACACCTACATAAATGAAACAATGGCTTACTAGCAGACTTGAATAAATAAAACAAAGATTAGTTGTGTTTTTCCTGGATACCTGAATAAACCAAATAATCTGTATTATTTTTATGGGTTTCTTTCATTTTGTCAATTCTCCATTCACTTATTCTGCTGTATCATCTCCAGTGAGTCATGCAGCTTAGGTCAGCACATTTAATGAAAGTTGGAAGTCAGCCTTGGCTTGTAATGAATTTATCATTAACTAGCTTGCCATCTCTCATGAGCAACTGATCATGAATTTCTGTTGCCTCAGCCTGAATCATTAGACCACTCCGTGCAGCGTTACATTGTTGCATGTTCGTTTTCCAAATCTTCAGAACATCCTCCGTTTCTTGGTACTGTGATGACCTTAAATGTTGGATGGCTCAACATGATATTTATCTGCCTAAAGTCTGATTCTGTGCATCATTCTTAAATTTACCCCATTTCATTGTGTCACAACTGACATTTTGTACTCAAATTTATCCCAAAATATGAGTTTTTCTTCTAAATTAAATGTCATTCTCTTGTTTTTCTCACTTGAACGGGAAGGATAAGTAGCTGCTGAGTGGTTAGGTAGTGCAAGTGGTAAACTTGAGGAGAATTGAGAAGCAGCTGCAGCTGAGGAAGTACATGGTACAATAGGCGTATAAGTACAGCAGTTGATATAAGACTTCTAGCCTGGCTTTTCGTGCACAACTAATAAAATTCTCGTAATATATAGGAAAATGTTAGAAATTTTGGTAACTGGAAAAATAATGCAGTAAAAACCACAAAATAACCTGAGGCTACTGTATAACTAAGATTGTAACTGTTTGGCACCGAGTCTGTCTACTTAAGTTCTGTGACAGATTGATGATACAAGAGTAAAATTTCATAGCAATCCTACTTCAATCTTATGGGTGAGTCAGGTTCATGGGAGTGACTTGCTACCACTGCAGTTCAACCTGTCTGTTCAAAGCAGTTTTTGTTAATGGAGGAGAGATCATAAGCTCATCTGTATAATGCATTCAGGAATCAGGAATTTTTCATTTGGTCTGCTAAGATTGCCTTTTGGGGTTCATAATACCGTGTGCTTCTTCTCTTCTACAGTACTATAGTTAATTAGAAAGCTTTTTGGGGATCAGCTCAACATTGAGATTGTGTTGGCTTGTTTAATTAGTCAGATCCAATTTCCTGCTAACCTGAGCTCCACCCTCACAACAGTTTTCCTATCCTGTAGAGGGACTCAGTATGTAGGACATGGTTCCCTGTTCTCTAGCCCAGGACACCATGAAGGGGATATAGGGATGTGGAATGTACGCCATCTTCAAATGACTCTTTACTTTGTCTGGTTGTGGTTTACAATTTTCTTGCAGCATGAAAATAAAATAAGGTTTAGTTGATATGGGATTGGCATTAGGATGTGCTAAGATGTATTTTTTAGTTAATATATTTGAGGCCCTCAGACAAGGTACAGATTGGTAGTGTGCTGTGCTGTAGATCTACATGACATAGTGCAATGGTGATCATGACCTAGAACCTTGTAGAGTACAGTTTGTAGTTTGACAGGTGTGTGTGTAATTTTTTTTTTTCAAACAGCTATCAATTAACATTGTATAGAACCCACATTCCTATCCCAGCAAAAAAAAAATAAAATTAATAAAAATCCATTATAAAATCTGTTATATTTTTCAGGGATACTGCTGGTCAAGAGAGGTTCCACACTATTACAACCTCCTACTACAGAGGGGCCATGGGTATAATGTTGGTTTACGACATTACAAATGCGAAGTCATTTGATAATATAGCAAAATGGTTAAGAAATATAGATGAGGTAAGGACATAAATTCATGACTTGTGTTGCATATGTGGTCGGTGCAGGATTTCCTGGTGTCAAGTTAAAGCATTTTTAATTTCGGGAGAAAATATCAAGATGAACAAGGGAGCACTTAAGTTTGTTATGTAGTGGTGGTGTTTAAGAAAAATCATAGGTAGCTGCAGTTTTCATACAATAACCCATAAACTTTAGGAATTCATTACATGCCCTTAGCCATAGGGTTGCACCTCAAATGTGTGTAACCATTACAGTATTGATTCTCAGAACATTGAAATACTCTGTGACTGAGCTGAAACAGGTGATCATCTCAAATTCCAGTTAATAACATAGGCCCTTATTGTACTGAGGTCCATTACAGTATTTCCGTCCTTTGATATTTTTCTCTTGTTCAATCTGGGACTCGACTTTTTTGGGGGCAGCTGAGTACAGGTATACAGTACTGTAATTGCTAAATTGTAATCACCTTCAAGTGTTTTAATAGCATTCACAGATAATTAAAATATTTCCTTTAAAATTTTATTTGTCGGTTTTACCAATTGCTCTTGTAGAGAAACAACATATAGTTTGTGGGTTGTCTCAGCACATACACATGTATGAGAGAGTAGGTGACAAGAAACAAGAATTGACAGATGCAAAGCAGGATTGACTGAAGGGAAAAAATAAAGTCCTTGAAAAGGATATTGTGAAGGTCAAGGAAATTTTGCAGACCATAAAGTAATGATACAGTGTGAATATGGCCAAGTGCACACAGGGTTTTTTTATTATACATCTGATGCAGTATTATTCCAGAGGAACGCGACTTAGTGAAATGTGTAATAATGAGGAATTTTCCCCTTAAGAATTAATGTAATTAGGTGTACTGTACAGTATACGCATTCCATCATGTAATAATACCCCTTGAAAGCTCAGGATGTGTTCCTGGAGAGAGAACTTTCAGCTAATCAGCTTACGACAGGGACATTAAAACATGCCGTATAATTATTGATATGGAGTTAGTACATTGATAACAACATTATTAATTACCTTTGAGTGATACAGGATGGAATGATTTTGCTACTTGTACACCCAGGCAGTTGATCAGTTCATAAACCAGGCCATATAGAGATGCATTATACACTACAATAATATTTATTAGTGCTGATAAGTATGCTAAAATATTATACAGTATACTAATGCTGAAGACAGATCCTGTGGTAAGTGCCAAGCCTCTTGAACAGAGATGGTGACTGCTGTCAACATTGGTAGGGAGAGTGGGAATGATCAGCTGTTACTACTCTGTAAACAAGAGGCTGGGAGTATAATACAATGCAATAACTCATCTAGGGTTGATTGTGGGACGTGGGGGATTATTTTACGATATTTTATTAACCTAACACCAATTGAACCTAAGTAATATGGGGATTATGGTGAAATTACAGGAGAGTTGTCCTCTCAGTCGAGCCAGCATTCCCTCCCTTCATATATTTGTTAGTGACATAACTATACTGTATGTGAAATATTGTACAGTACAATGTATAACGAGGACCCCCTGTATATGTGAGATAAAGAGGTTCCCCATTAGAGTACTTTTTACCTGTTGCTTTCTAACAATGACTGAGGCTGACTGTTGTATTATCTGATATAACAGCTGAAAGGGTGTACTGTATTGTCACATTGGTTCATAGTCACGTGTGAATTCCCATTGTCAATTTGCTAATACATGTGTGTACAATATAATCATTTAGTACAATTAAAAAGCCTGATGTCCTGGTTCTTAATATTGAATGTTCAGTATTTTCCATGTACAGGGATATCTCCATTAGCCGGAACAATTGGCGCAGAGCACTTCCGGGAATGGGGGATTTGCGGGTAACAAGACGACTCTCAAAGCCGGAAAAAATCCCCCATCCCTGGAATTTTCCGTGTAACAGAAAAATGTTCTTGGAAGTTCCAGAAATTGCCCATTACATCGTCACTCGAACCCGAAAAATATCCCCCCATCCCTGGAATTTTCCGGGTATTGGGATATTTTCCGGAAAATGTGCCCTTCGGAAAATCATTTCCAAAGCCGGAATTTTCCGGAAAATTCCGGCTTTTGGAATGATTTTCCGAGAATTTCAATTCTGGTTATTATTGGAGGGTTTCGGGTTTGAGGGATTCTGGCTAACGGAGATATTACTTACGTAAAAAACTTATACCTGTATAGTACAGGTACAGTATATATTTTCCCCCCGTGTTTGCTTTATTCATGAATAACAGAAATCAAGAGTTTGCATTTTGGAGGAAAGTTATTGCATAAAGTATTTTGATTGACATTTGTCTTTACAACTTCTGTGTAATGCTATACTGTAGTTACCCCATCTCCCCCCTTTTTTGTTTTACTTGTTTTCTTTTGCATCATTGACAGTCTACATGTATTCCTGCAATTTGTAGAGATTTTGCCAATATGTGTAACCACTAGGCTAAGTAGTTTTACAAATGTTCAGGGTGTCCACCTTATAATGAAACAACTTTGAAGCCTTATAAATTTGTATTTAATAATGCAAACAGGAATATTCTCAGTCAGTGTTCTCGAGTTTCATTTGGTGTATAGGTACATATCATTCTGGTACATTAGGGTAAGCATTCAACATGTGCACCATTCATAGAATGGACTAAATCACAACGGTAATTAATTTCCCGAGACACATTTTTTAACATCTCAAGGGTTTGAGGCCACCACTGCTGTGTGATGCACTCTCTCAGCTGAACATTGTCCTGCACCTGGGTGTCAGCTCATTGGCTGGATAGAGACGAACCCATTTCCTGGCCACCGAGATTGTCTGACTTTACCCTGCTTGATTTTTTTTTTTGGGGTAAAGGATATTGTTCAGCTGAAAGAGTGCATCACGCAGCAGTGATGGCCTCTAACCCTCGAGATGTTAAAAAATGTGTCTAGGGAAATTAATTACCGTTGTGATTTAGTCCATTCTATGAATGGTGCACATGTTGAATGCTTACCCTAATGTACCAGAATGATATGTACCCATACACCAAATGAAACTCGAGAACACTGACCGAGAATATTCCTGTTTGCATTATTAAATACAAATTTATAAGGCTTCAAAGTTGTTTCATTATAGGGTGGACACCCGTGTGCCTCTAGTACAAATATAAATTCCTTGGTATGTGTGTGTGTCTGTGTTATACTAACTGCAGCAGGTTTTGGATATTGTATTTGATTTTTTTTTTTTTTTTTTTTTTTTGAGAACCCTGTACAGTACATTGAAATTAGCCAATTGTACAAATTATTTTACATACAGTGTATACAGTATGTACAGTACTGTAGTTTGTAGTTTTTAAGCTTCCTGGTGATGTAGCATGTAGTTATTGAAATAGGAAAAATGCTGTGGAATGTACAGTGCAGGCGGACCTCTTATAACAGGCAATATCTGTTCCTCAGGAGTGTTACAGCAGTTAATGTTTTAAAATACAACATAGTGCCTTCCTGACAGTGTTTATTATTACCATATTAATGCTACAGGGCAGCTGCTTTAGCTAATGGTAATGGCCATGCAATTGTTTTGCCCTTTTATATATATTTATAACAAAAATATTGACATTTATTAACTGAAAAACTAAATTTAATCAACACTCGGCAGTTAATTTTGTCAAAGCTTTTGTTGTTTACCACAACTCTTGCTCTTGCTGCACACCTACTCAGCCTTCTGCATCACCACATTTTCACAACCATACCAATGACATTCTTGGTCACCTTGACTGATGTGTGAACAATCACTTAAAGGCCATATTCCAGACATGGTGGACCAAAATTTTTAAGTAACGTGTGCAGGAGAGTGGAGACAGAACTGGTGCAAATTTTGGCTTGTACACGTTAATTAGTTGTGTGCTTGTTGGCATCGGGAATGTTTGGTGGTGGTTTCATATTTTTGATGGATGTTTTTCTTTAATTTTTTTCTTTTATTAATGGTATAACGTCCTTAACACCTTTCATACAGGTTCCTCTCTGGGCTGAATAAAATGGTCTGGCATGAGTCAAATTAAATATTAAAAGTGGCATCCCAGTAGTGAAGGGGTTAATGTTAAACTGTATTTAATAATTTATTTTTAATTTTTTCATGTCCATTAAGCAGAAATATGTAAGACTGGCTCAATTATAAGAGGTTTGCTTGTACTTTATTAAAAATTGTGAGACACATGAATAAGTTGAAATAATTTTCTTTAAAACATTTAATATTTTCAGCATGCAAATGAAGATGTAGAAAAGATGATCCTGGGTAACAAGTGTGACATGGAGGACAAGCGTGTAATCCCCAAGGAAAAAGGAGAAGCGGTAAGTGTTGCTATAGACTGTTTGGTACTAACAAAAGCTTCTTGTAAATGTTGTTTGGAATTATCCTGTACTTATTTTATAACCTCCAGATAGTTCCACTAGAACAGTATATGTTTGAACCTGCACCTTACCTGGGGGCTTAGTAGGATATAGTGGCAATTTATTTTATCAAGTGGAGTTCAATGGTTTAAATTTTAAGCCCACTGGTGGCTTTGAGATTCGGCTTGGCTTCTAGATTTGGTTTGGCTTCATGATCACTGGGTTGAAACCTAGTGACATGTTCACCTCCTCCCAAATTATTTTGCTGAGAATGTGTTGCATGGTTGATCTCTTCATTGCAGATACTTGGAATAGTTCACCTCTGTCCTTCTTGTCTTTGCAGACTTTATTTGAGGAATTTATTGGTTTGGTTTGTTTCACATTGTACTTTTCTTTCTCATTAACTGTTCATGTCTGGTCACCTTATATATCCTTTATAGAGTTACACTAATTGGTAACTTTAGGATTTATCACCCAATTGACTCTGCAAGGCTTTGTTTATTTCAACCCCTTTGGACATTTGATGATGAACTGGTGAGATGGGTCAGTTGATCCTAGTACTATGGGTCTAGTGGATGCCATTTTAAGTGTTCAGTCTTTTAAGTACAGTATTAAATTATTTTATTTGACGTTCAAGTGAAGTAAGCAGTTGGTTCAGTTTATTATACCGATACAAATTTTGTTTCAATTTGTCGCACTGATCAGAATTTGTGTAAACTTAGTCTACATGAAGTCCAAGTGAATTTCATCCCCATATGCTTTCCATTCCTTTTCATTTGGTGCATATTATTTGTATCCTTTATCTCAGTAAACAAAATTTGGGAAATATTATGGAACTTTGTCATGTGTGATCATCAACTGATGTAGTTAGACTGATGTCATGATAATGCCACAACCTGAGCTTTTTCCTCATACAAAAATGAAATTTATTGATTGTTTGACAATTATATTACAATTTCTGCATTGTTTCAGATTGCACGAGAACATGGTATTCGATTCCTTGAAACGTCGGCAAAGGCCAACATCAACATTGAACAAGCCTTCTTAGAACTTGCTGAAGCCATCCTCAACAAGACCCCAGGACGTGACCCACAGGTAATGTTGCCTTTGTTCTTTACGGTATAATGCTAACCATTGACGTGCAAACAAAGTTCAATTTCAGTTACGTAGAAGTTACTAAATTCTGAAACATTAGGACTGCAGAGATCCAAAATATTTTGCTGGTACTGTATCCTGAATTATTGTGTGTGGAGTGGAAGTTAATAAGAACTGTAATGTCATCAGCCTGGTTTGAATTATGCATTATAAAATTAATTTGGCTGCAAATGACATAGTAAAAGACGATGATCTTATTACAGTATTAAGTTAGTTATTTCCAGCTGGATGCTGTTTTTTTGGGGAGCATGTTTTCCAACACTGGGGAAAGAGGTTGATCTTACTTAGATCACAAGATTTTACTGCTGAGTTAATTGTGCTCTTTTCATTAGGACTGGGTACAGTTAGTTTTCTGCTCTGTATTTTTATAACAAACTCAATATGGATACAAAAATTAGGTAGCACACATCATTTTTCACAAAAACAGAGGTCACCATCATATTCAGAAACACTAAACCCTTAGATTGAAGCTGTTGAAAAACTATTTTACTGCCATATGTGCAATAAACAGAAAAGGATAAAAACCCATAAAAACATGTCCTATTCTCTTAAACAAATAACCATCTGCTTACCGAGAATAGTCAAAACCACGAATCGCAAACCCCTGACTAGGAAGGGCTTATTGTATAGTCTAGGATGGTTTGACAACCAGCTGACATAAAAATGAACCCATTAATATGGTATGGCTCTCTTTGTCCATGTTTGTCTCACTAGGTACATGGATATCTGTAAACTTGCATTTTGTGGAACATAGGTTCATTAATACAGATGCTTTGGTGAATCTTAAAACACTCCGGTCCCAGCCTCATCTAATTATTGTAGGTGTTGGAGGTCCTGTAAATCTGGCCATCAAAAGAAAGAAAAAAAGGGACAAAAATGGCAGGCAAAACAGTATACTGTATATACTTTTATCCATGGCATTTGTGCTAATTATGGTGGAAAGATTAATTTGTTACTGTGTTGGTCATGAATAAATTCTCTAAAGTGTGTTTCAATAAGTTGTTCTGATAAAAATTATATCAACACGCTATAATGTTGGGAACTCAATTTTTTAATGAAAAAACTTAGACATGTTGATACCAGAGTCTGTAAATCTAAAAGTTTGTCTAAATTCAGGAAAAATCCAGTGATGGGGATTTTTTTTCGTGGTACGAGTCCTCTCTTTACCCGGAAATTTCTCCTTCCCGAAAGTGCTCTGCCAATTGATCCGGTTGACGGAGCAATCACTGTAGGTATATAAAAATAAACTACAGTACAATATACAGACCATTAATGGAGGAGGTAGTTTTTGGGAGTGAATGGCGCGGTTTTTCATGATTAAGAAATGTTGATTTCATTGTACATCACAGCCATGGTAAGGTTCAATATGAATAATGAAGCTTTGGTAGTTCTGTATAATGATCATGAAATTTAAGAAAAAAAAAATTGACATGTTATGGTGAGAACAAAAAAAGGCTGGCAACCCTGGAAGTGTTAACTTGAATGTGTATTATGCATAGATGAAGTGGAAAAAGTAAAATGAAGTCTGTCGGAGTTGAATGTCACAACCAAATATCAAAGGTCAAACTTGCCAAGGAGCTTATAATGTACTGCTGTTCTCAGGTCTTTGCTCTACAGATTTCATATGCACTCCTGTTCTTGTGAAAATTGAACATCTAAAGTGTCAGGCAATAGATGATATGTTAGTGACTTAGTCTAAATTAGGTTCCAGTTTGGTGTCCACTCTTACATTGTTTCCACAAGTCTTCTAATAACTACTATCGTGTCCATTATACTTTACTTTTTAGAAACATTGTATTTACAGTAGTACTCGTATGGTCCTCTTCAAAAGTAGCAAGTGCACATAACCTCTTCACAAAATGGATAAATGTATGTGTTCACCTGTCATTGCAGATCATGTAGTTGGCTTTTATTTAACTACTGTACTAGTATTTATCATATTTAACTACTGTACTAGTATTTATCATATTTTGTTTATTCAGTAAATTTATTATTCTTTCTTTATCCCTTTCTCTCTAGATTCAAGAAGTCACTTTCATCTATCTACTCCTATCATATTTTTTTCTTCTTCATTCCAAAGTCATCCATATAAATTTAGAAATCTTAAAAGCAGAGTGATGTTGCTCCTTTTTTGTTATTCCTATATTAATTGATTCTTTTACAGAAAAAAAACATTATAAAGGTTTATTGAACATCAAAATATCATGTTTACATTGCAGGAAAACCCAGACAGTGTTGTTCGCCCAGAGAGGAGGAATGATCGAGGTGCAGCTCGACAGTGCTGTGCGTAGACTACTAACGTTACATGTAGCACTGAAGGGGTCAGTCACACCCAGTAGGACACCTCCGCAGGACTCAAAGCTAAGGCTCCTCTGTAGGTTTCCTCTTCCTAGGGTATTTTTGTGTGACTCCTCTGGGGTGGTCTTATGTAGGCCCCACAGCAACTAACATCACTTGCATACTCCTACTATAGACTCTGCTCTCAGGGGAGGCCAAGAAATAGAAGCACAGACTTTATGCTTAATCTATACCATCTTTTTACACTGCACTCAGGGGATGGATTCAAAAGATACAGTAAGTTAGGAACCAATAATTGCAGGTTTTTGCTCATGTTTCAGTCTGAGTGTTGTAACTGGATGTAGTATTGTCCCAGGACATGAATGGTGTAATGAAATGAGTAATGATTATGAACCTTGGACATGAACTTAATTTGGCTGCCTTTTTTAAAGTATATGGAAATGGCACTACATTGAGATATGGTCAAAGGTTATCAGTGCTTGTGTAATTTGAGAGGTGGCACTTGTAATGAGTGGCTTCTCCCTGGTAACTATCATGACTCTTGGTGCAATGGAATTTACTTCAGAACTATTTTTGTGCACTCTGCCTTATAATTTTTAATGTGAGGCTTAACATATATTAAGTGAAAGAAAGCCTTTCATTAGTATTCACCATGAATGCGAGAGGAGGTGGCTTGAAATGAAATGTTTATATGTAGAAGCATAATTTGAATACTAGTGGTTTTGCTATGAACTGTTCTAATCATATACTGTAACTTGCCATGTGATAACCAAAATCAGTTTATATGAATGAATAATTTTAATTAATGGATGAGATGGATAGATTAATGTTAAATATGAAATATTTGCTTTTTAGTAGTTGAATAAACAAGGGATATTGAAATACAGTATATTTATTTTACACGTCAGAGTTTTCATTGCTTTTTTTGTAATAAATGTAGTTTTTCTTCCATATACCTGTACTAGATTGAGTGGTGATATTTTATTTATTTGTTTATTATTTTTTTAAAACTGGTGGTCATGTTAGTAATTTGTTATGAGGCACCTGTTGTGGTCAGTCCACAGTCTGCCGACGTGGCTTTGTTTGTCAGATTATGAATTATCCTAATGTGTTGAATCTTGACTTAGTGTTTGTTGTGTGTAAGGACCAAAAAATTTCCAAGGAAATTCTTACTGTTGTAAGATTCGAATTTGATACCTAAAAGTTAAGATGGACTTGGATTACTGTACATGAGAGGAATAATGGAGTTAAGTGATTGTTGATTGTGTTACTCATTAAAAATGTAATGTTGGTTCAAGTCTTGAAAATGTTCTTACAGCTATCAACTGTGCTCACATTTCCTCTAATGATGTTTACAGAACAAGCTAAATTGTATTTCTGTAATCCAGGTTCCATTACAGATCTCTTGATTATTAAATTTTGTTTATATTGCATACTTATAATTTTATTTACATAACAAATACTAAGTTAAATTCTATGCAGCTGTTTAAAGGTGAATTATCAAATTACTTTGTCTATCGTGCATTAGCTTTTGCCAAAGGCTGTGCTTAGGTAATTTCAAACAGGCCTCAAGTCTGGAGGAGAAGTACACTCCTCATCCTATGTAACAAGTAATAGTATGATCTGGCTCAGCAGTGACATAATAACTGAATACAAGACATTAAAGTCTTGTTGCTGTATTAAGAATTTCAGTTTCTAAATGCGTGAAAGTTGATATTCATTTTCATTTACAAAAATGGAAGAAATCTTGCCGTTTTCTTCACAAAGTTGTACTCATTTATTGTGTATGCAAATTTTTCTGCACAAAACACTATAAGTTTCTCTCCCCTTCTCTTTCTCTTCTCTTAATTATAAAACTGAGTGACCCTTGCAACTTTGAGAACAATATGAAAGCAATTTTCTCCTTATTCAATTAACCAATGGAAGAATATATTTAATATTGCCTTCTGAGGTTGGCCTCTTTATCAACACAACTCTTCTCTGGGATTTTAAGTCTCAATTTTGTACACTTATGGGCTGATGGTGTAAACTCATATTAATTGCAAATATGATGTCAAGAGATGTACATTACAAAATTGATGCATTGATTTTCATGTACAGTATAATAACAATGAGAAACGTATCACCCCTTCTTTTTAATTTTACAACCCGTGCAGTAATTTCCATTAGAGCCCGAGGGTTAAACAAAATAATTCTAGTTTTCAGGTCCCCATTGTTTGAGTCTTACAGCAGGAGTTAGGGCAAGGAACAATACACTCCTCAAACTGTTTCTTCAAATATATTAAATTTAAACAGTTTGATTAGTTTACTTTCCCTTGTCTTTTTTTTAATAAATCACAACTGTGTGTCTTATGACGTGATATGTATAAAGATTGTCTAAAGTTATCATTGACAGAATGGAGCAAGATGGTGTCTTCCTTGTGTTTTGACAGCACCAAGAAAATGCTCATCATTGATTAATTGGCTGCTGACTCAGTTTTGTATCATTGAAGGGAAAAAAGTAAAATTGTCCAAATTTTCTGGTCACTGAAAGCTCAATATTATCCTCACAGATAAAGAAGTAAGGCACACTGAGTTGTTTGTTTACCATTTCCTTGCTCAGTTTCCTTGCCAAGGTGTTCTGATAAGTCACACAAGGTTGGCAATTGGGGCTCCTGTGTCAGTTTTGAGTTAATAGCTGTGCTGTGTTAGTGCACATGACAAGTTAGGTATCAGTAATTATGATAGTTATTCCAAGCTATTAAAACTTTTGATTGTTTTTCTTGTGTGCACGGTGTTACTTTATTTTGCGAGTCATTGTAAAGAAATTATTGATTTTATTGAAAATAGTTTTGTACTTGGACCACTTACTTAGTGTATTTATGTTTTTATACTTGTAAATGAAACTGTTAGGATTCCTCAAGTCTGTAGTATATGGCATATTTAGTTTTTAACATGTATATTAAAGGGAAAAAGTGTCATTAGAGACGATGACACTGGACCATATTACTGTCCTTTGTATATGGCCTGCAGGCAGTGCTGAGAGGTTAGGATGTAAGACCCTGGTAACTAGAACCAGTTGTGGGTCTCGCATCCAGAAGTACACATTTTTGAAGCCCATTGACACAGCAAGGTGATAGAATATTCTGCATTTAATAAATTAAGTTCCATCATGAAACTCAATATTTTAGATTTGCATATATTGGAGTAAAATGTTCAAGTACCTACTGGTGAACAGGGTTAATAATGGCATGTATATAAATACAAATGTTAATTATTAAATCAATCAAATTGTACTGAAAAATTCACCTGCAGAATTACAGTAATAAAGAAATGTTTGTCCACTTGAACCCTCCCTTGGGTTACAGTTTGCTAATCTACATTTATTCATGCACTCTAGGTTTTGATACCTGAGAATTTATTGCATCAATTAGCAAGAATTTAATAATCGGATCATTAGCACAGTGACTTGGTGTAATACTTCTTGGCCCAACCTCCCCTGCACACAACTTGATCAAGGATACTAAAGTGCGCATTGTAATAATTATAAGCCAATTGCAGCTACTCCCAAGATGCTGTGCCAGGTAACTGTATTATTGAGGCTTGCGTTATTTAACCCACTGAGGGAAAGCCTTTCCAATATGTTATCAATGGCTGGGATGGATTGGGCATGTTGCATTGACTTAAAAGATATTTAATTAACCAAAGAGGTATAACAGTGGACCTGTAAAAGCAACGTGAAGTAGATATAATTTATTATTAATGAAAAGGAAAATATTTTGTGTAAGATAAAATTGGTCAGAAATAAGTTGGATAAGAGATTTTAGTATTTTAGCTCCACAGTTTCCTCCCAAGTTTAATGTACAATATAGGGTAACAGAGGAAATCTTGAAACACGAAACAGCATTTGTACATAAAGTCCACTGGTAAGATGGTGAAATGGTATATTATGTGTCACGAACAGTTTATTGGTTCTTTATGGATAGGATGGGCTTGCTTTTGTCCAATGACTTGCTTGAACATCATTAATAAAGTGTTATTTGTGATGGTAGGATTGTTTTTGTCATCCTTCTGCTGTTATGGTATTGTTCCATTAATTTGTACTGTACCCCACTTTGGGTGAATATAAATGCAACATGTTAATATCACTAGGCTTCAAATATGTTTGACCATCTAATAATTCTGGTCACATCTCTGAAAATGAAATCACTATGATCTATATTTAGGGGAACTAAGAGCACATTACATGTACTTTTTTTCAGGTAGGCGGGTAGATTTTTATTACCTCAGGGACTTGCGACCCTGCCTTGCCAGCTGTTACCACCCTATGGATTGGCATTAGCAAGGTCATCTAGCTATAAAACTTTGCTTCAATGTGCCAGATGGCAGCTGGGTCAACAGAACTGCCCATTCCCTGATTTCTTCATTTTGTGGGTTGGTGCCCTAGGTTTGTGTGTGTGTGGGGGAGAGGGGGGCATCCAGTTCTGATTTTACCCAACAGCCACTGACAGGTTATCTTGGTTAACCCATGAAAGTGTAGAATATGACTTAACACGTTGATGTAGGTCACTAATAATGCAACATTCTAAAATCACCAGGGTTGATGCTCATGACCTTCTGAATTACAGTATGGTACACTTATCCTGTAATGTGCTTTTTGTAAAATTTTGGTCACCAGACTTTGTGGGCATGGTAACTCCTTGAAAATCTTAGTATCTTGCTGTTTCAGTAACACAGTGTGTTTCAGAAATATGGGTCATAATGGGCTATGATCATTATACTCACTGTACTGTGGTGGAGAAAAGTCCCTTCCCTCAGTTCTCTCTCCGGCCCCCATCATACACACTACACTGCGCCATCTGTTGGACGATTACAGCACTTCCCTCAGTTGCTTCGTTCTTCGAACCTCAGGTGATTCAGTCACATTGTGGTTGGCTGAAGGAAGGAACTTTTGTCCACCATAGTACATCACTACAGAGTATTTCAATGGTATTTATATACCTCCCTGAAAAATTGGTTACTGATCCATTTCCGGTTCTGCATTATTGTAACAATACAATTACCAAATTTCTTGTACATGATTCTCTAATAATAATCAGCACACACAGGCTTTAAACTAGGCCATGACCTATTTTTTAAGAAAATAGAACTCTTGGTAATTTGTTCTGTGCTGAAAGGCGCCTTAGCTCCAGTGTGGCTTTGAGCTTAAAATCAATAAATAAATCGATCAATCCATACAGATTTGTTCTACACTAAAGCAACAAACTGCAGCTCACAGTATGTAAATGGGACCTGCATCTGGGTTTCACACTAATATGGTGGTGGGCCCATACATCATAGCTAGGTAACTGTGAACTACTTTCTAGGAATACTTTATAAGTTCTGTTAAGTTTTACATCCAACTATAGTTCATTGTTTAAGAACATGACACTACAGCCACCAACTTCAAATAGTGAATAACCACCTGCTGTAAAAAGTCACTTAAATAAAAAAAAATTAAATTTACCCACAGTTCCGTATGGATGTTTTCACATAACTTGTGGATATATCTTTTCTTGGTCCATTGCACATAAGAAAAATAGTATGTTTGCATTTTGTGCATCTTTCAACTACACTGTATTTCCTTATTTTTCAGAGTATATTCATCATAACTTGTAAATAGGCAGGTGAGATATGAATAAGTTATGACAATTTATCAAAATAGCATAAAATTGTACCAGTAAACATGCCTGTGTATTATCAACTATGGTGTACACTGAACCTTCACAAATTGTACCAGTAAACATGCCTGTGTATTATCAACTATGGTGTACACTGAACCTTCACAAATTGTACCAGTAAACATGCCTGTGTATTATCAACTATGGTGTACACTGAACCTTCACAAATTGTACCAGTAAACATGCCTGTGTATTATCAACTATGGTGTACACTGAACCTTCTGAAATGTACCAGTAAACATGCTGTGTGTATCAACTATGGTGTACACTGAACCCTAGAATTGTACCAGTAAACATGCCTGTGTATTATCAACTATGGTGTACACTGAACCTTCACAAATTGTACCAGTAAACATGCCTGTGTATTATCAACTATGGTGTACACTGAACCTTCACAAATTGTACCAGTAAACATGCCTGTGTATTATCAACTATGGTGTACACTGAACCTTCACAAATTGTACCAGTAAACATGCCTGTGTATTATCAACTATGGTGTACACTGAACCTTCACAAATTCGACATCTTGATTTTTTGCAGCTTGTCTCGTAATTGTAAAGAAATTTAATATTTTTTACTGGAAGGGTGTTGATGTCTGATACTGGCAAGTCTAGAATGAGAAAAAAAGCTAACACTGTCTAAAGAATAGGTGCTGTATACTGTACTCGACATACGTATGTTATTTTGAAATAATAGTATGACGATAAGTACAGTCATGGTCAAAAGTAATCCTCCACTCCACCACCTAACCTCTGGCCCTGGCTGGGTCCATTCTGCAGGGTAAGTCACGTGGGGTGGTGAGGAGGAATGGTCGACTTCGGGAAGGTACGTTTGTTGGAGGGTATGTAATGCAAGTTCCTTATCAGAGAGGGAGGAGATTGAAGACAGCTGGGAAATTCATGGAAGAAGGAAGGAAGGGTAGGACGGATGTGACTTTTTTTTTCCTTACAATATTTGTTTTACATGCTTGAAAGAATGTTAGGTGAGAAGACCCTTATTTTAGGATTATAATTATATACCATCCATGTCCTAATTATTATTTTTTTCTAAGTTGTTTAGGTTTTAAACAACGGTAATTGGATATTTATACAAATTGATAGGAGAAATATTGAATATAAGGGTGGAAATCACATTTATTTTCTACTTACTAGTACATGTCATAAAGAATCTCAATAGCCTGTCCAATAACCTCCTCGCCTGTCAATTGTGGTTTCCCCGGCCTAAAATTATATCATTTACAGTACGTATATGAATTAAGAGTTATAATATGTTTTGATTACATTATATACTCCCGAAATTAGTAATGTTAATATATCAAGTGCCAGCAAACCATAAAAAATCATATAAAACACACAAAAAAAAATAAAACAAAGTGTTGGTATTAAAAGAGCAGTGACCCAACTAAACCTAACTAATTTAAGCTAACCTGATCTAGTGAAAGCTAATTGAGCTTAAAATATGAAACAAAATACCCACTATCTCGGTTATAAGTTTTTTGCAACGATAATATCACGGAAGAAAAGTGTCTTAGAACTGTCTGAACTATTGGGAAAAAATCCATTATTTTTTAATTATCAAAAGCGACTATGGACCATAAGGAATACAATTGCCACTACCACCTCATCACTTTGCATTGAATTTCACAACTCAAATAAACACGTTACAGGTCGGATAATTTTTTATATATATATATTTTTTCAAGTAAGGTGGTGTCTTGAATAAAGACGAAAGCTAAGGTGCTCCAACGTTTCCTTTTTCCCGTGTGATTTTATCAAGATTTATCTTATCCACGTTTTCATTGTGGATTTACATGAAATATATATATATATATATAATGGCATTGCACGTCGGTTAGGTCAAGTTAGGTTTGGTTTTTTCGCGCCTTTTATCTGACACTTTCTTGGATTCGTATGTTCTAGGGGTACCTGGTGAAACCAAAAGTTTTATCATAGATCATAATGTACTTTAATTTGAAATTCACTTTTTTTTTCATATCTTTGCACCACTTTCATAAGGTAAGAATGATTCTTGAGGATTTTTTGCGACCCAAGTAATAAATTCAGCCGATCTTGTCTAACTCGACCAATCACCGTCAAGTTCTAGTAGAGCCGTTAGTGGCCGCTGGTCTTGTAAACTGTCAACATGGCGGCCTGTACAGTCTCACTAACGTGGATCATCTCGGTTGTGACTGGTTTCCAACCCAATTCGCAGGAGATTGAAGATCAGGGTGCACGAATTTATAAATAAGGTAAGTAAAAATGCAATTAATTTTGGCGATACTTCGCCTGATGGTAGCACTGCGGAAAAGTCCTGAGTGCACCAGTGGCCCAAGTCCGGTTGTGTAATAGGGCTTTGAAGTACCGTAGAAGGAAAATGCTGGGAAAATACTAAAAAGAACACTAAATACACCTTTGAAATCGTCACCTAACCTATAAAAGGGTTATAAATCGCTTTCGAGTTCGTGGATCCCGCCTCCTCATCTGAGCACCCAAAACAAGAATAAGGTTATAGGTCAGAGTTCAACATATTAAAATCCGCAACACCCGCTCCCCTCCCCCCCCCCCAAAAAAAACCCCACCTATAATGTGAAGTATTCCCTTAATTTTAAGTAAAGCGTTGGAGGAAAGTGAGTAAGTAGAGAATTATGTGTAAGCAACAAGAGCGGCGTTATTGGTGGTTAAAAATTTATTTTAGACGGTTTTCAAATTCAAACGGTATTTAACCTTGCTATCTCTAGTTGCATATATATTTAACTTTTGGTAGAATTGATTAGTCAGTTTGATTAAAAAAAATGCAAAATAGTGTTTGTAATGCGAGCCAACATTTTGGACCGCGTAAGCAAGATGGCCATTTGGCATTTCTTTCCTCTATACAGGAAGATGGTGGTTCGTCTGTCTGTACTGATTCAGTGTGGAATTTCTTCCTTTGTCACTACGGCAACTTGGTCTACAGCCAGAGGCCTGATTTATTGTCTTTAACTATAGTATAATCGCACCAGAAAGTCCTGACCTGGGCTCCTTCAAGGAATTTAAGCTACGAATCTGCGGACAAATAGTAGGGAAAAGTTACATGAATACGTACGTCTTTTAAATAACGTAAGGGAAGATAGGTAAAGGTTGGGTTTGCTTGATTTGGTATGGTTTGTGACTTTTCCTACATTTAACTAACGCATGTACAATGAAAGACAAAATATAGTGAAATTTGGTGAAAACATATGCCGAAGAGCTAAACTTTTGGTGCTCTCTGTCATGTGGTAGGGGGGACTCATAATGTTTCACGAGTTATATTTAATCTTGGGACAAAACCGCGACACGACTTTTGTCTTTGATTG